GTGGTCACGTTGTGTCTCTATGTGGTCATGTTGTGGTATTTGTGGTCACTTTGCGTCACTTTGTGGTCACGTTGTGTCTCTATGTGGTCATGTTGTGGTATTTGTGGTCACTTTGCGTGTCTGTGTGGTCACTTTGTGTCTCTATGTGGTCACTTTGTGTCTCTATGTGGTCACTTTGTGTCGCTTTGTGGTCACTTTGTGTCTCTTTGTGGTCGTGTTGTGGTCACTTTGTGTCACTTTGTGGTCACTTTGTGTCTCTTTGTGGTCACGTTGTGGTCTTTGTGGTCACTTTGTGTGTCTGTGTGGTCACTTTGTGTCTCTATGTGGTCATTTTGTGGTCACGTTGTGTCACTTTGTGGTCACTTTGTGTCTCTTTGTGGTCGTGTTGTGGTCACTTTGTGTCTCTTTGTGGTCACGTTGTGGTCACGTTGTGGTCTTTGTGGTCACTTTGTGTGTCTGTGTGGTCACTTTGTGTCTCCATGTGGTCACTTTGTGTCTCTTTGTGGTCATTTTGTGTCTCTTTGTGGTCACTTTGTGTCTCTTTGTGGTCGTGTTGTGGTCGTTGTGGTCACGTTGTGTCTCTATGTGGTCACTTTGTGTCTCTTTGTGGTCATTTTGTGGTCACGTTGTGGTCTTGGAGCTTCAGGTCTCTGTAGGAAACCTTCTCTCTCTGTTTAATGACAAAACAGCAGTTTTCATGCTGAAGTACATTTTTCACCTTTAACTGATACAAAAAGTTGGTTTTAATATAACTGGCAGAACCTGAGACGTTTAGTCCAAAGTGTTCTTGCTGTTCTGAGACTGTTTCCATCCAAACTTTGGGTTCTTTGTTTTAGCTGCAGGTTCTGAGTCACTTTTCACTGTTCAGCAGTTTGTTTCCGTCACACAAACGTTAGCTGACAGCAGCATGGACAGAGAAGAGGCTGCTCCAGCAGAACAGGCTTCCTGGAGGTCACAGGCTCAGGTTGGAGGACCGACCCACCGCCTGGTTCCGGCCCTGCACCGTTACACTGACACTCTGGCAAAGGAAAACTTCTGTCATCTATGCTTCACTTTATTGGCTTTAAATGACAGTGAACTGGTTCCAAACGCTGTTCTAACGTCTGACTGAAATGAACGAATCTCATCTGAACTTTTGCTTCATCAGTTTCAATAAAAAGCCTCTGATCGTGTTTTGACCTTAAATTAAAGGAATAAATCTGACGGGCAGTGCGCGCACTTTGTCTCCAGTGGAGCGCGTGTCCGCGGGGAGCAGCGGGGGGAGGACAGATGGAGGGAACAGCGGATGACAGCTTGTCTCTCAGACATTTTCTGCGCTTCAGCTCCACTTTTGACGTCAGGAATAATCGGCGCAGCTTCATCCGGGTCTTCTTCTCCTCTGCTGCTTTCATTTAGTCTCGGTCAGACGTGCGGCGGCTCGAAGCCTCAAACAGCGACAGAAGCAGCGGAGCCGCGGCTGGAGCAGCACCGATCCAGAGCGCAGCTCCGGCTCCATCTGCTGCACTTGGGCTCTTGTGGACGCGTCGTGAGGATGTTCGCGCTGCGGCTCAACAAGTCTCCTTCATTCTTCACTCAGTAACTGTGGATGGCTGCGGAATGGAGATAGCCTTGGTGAGCTTTGAGAACGGCGGCGCGAAGGGGAGCGGCGGCGGCAGCAATGCCGAGGATAGCTGCCGGAACGCGCTGGATGTGCCTCAGTCGGGCTTCGTTCAGAGTGGACTCGGAGAGGACTTCGGGAAGGAGCTGAACACCCGAGGAAGCGCTCCTCCTGCTCAGCAGCAGCAGCAGCAGCAGCAGCAGCAGCAGCAGCAGCAGCAGCAGAGCGCCTGGAAGATCAACGACATGAACAACACTTTCAGCTGCAGCGAGAACGCGATGGATGCGCTTTTACGCGCGGACCACAGTCCCCATCTGTTCGACGAGGACATGCTGGACATGGACATGGACACGGAGAGCAACGAGAGGGTGCTCATCAACATCGCCGGACTGCGCTACGAGACCCAGCTGGGAACCCTGAACCAGTTCCCGGACACGCTGCTCGGAGACCCCGCCAAGAGGATCAAGTACTTCGACCCGCTCCGGAACGAGTACTTCTTTGACCGCAACAGGCCCAGCTTCGACGGCATCCTGTACTTCTACCAGTCCGGGGGGAAGATCCGGAGACCCGTCAACGTGTCCATCGACGTGTTCGCGGACGAGATCCGGTTCTACCAGCTGGGGGAGGAGGCCATGGAGCGGTTCCGCGAGGACGAGGGCTTCATCAAGGAGGAGGAGAAGCCGCTGCCGCAGAACGAGTTCCAGAAGCAGGTCTGGCTCATCTTCGAGTACCCGGAGAGCTCCAGCCCGGCGCGGGGCATCGCCATCGTGTCCGTGATCGTTATCACCATCTCCATCATCACCTTCTGCCTGGAGACGCTGCCGGAGTTCCGGGATGAGCGCGAGCTACCGGTGACCAGCCGGCTGGACAACAGCACCGCGCCGCGACCCTCCCTCACCTTCACCGACCCCTTCTTCATCATCGAGACCACGTGCGTCATCTGGTTCACCTTCGAGCTGTTCGTGCGCTTCTTCGCGTGTCCGAGCAAGTCCGAGTTCTCCAAAACCATCATGAACATCATCGACATCATGTCCATCATGCCTTACTTCATCACGGTGGGCACCGAGCTGGCGGAGCAGCAGGGCCAGGAGCACCAGAACGGCCAGCAGGCCATGTCTCTGGCCATCCTGCGGGTCATCCGCCTGGTCCGGGTCTTCCGGATCTTCAAGCTGTCCCGTCACTCCAAGGGGCTGCAGATCCTGGGTCAGACTCTGAAGGCCAGCATGCGGGAGCTGGGCCTGCTCATCTTCTTCCTCTTCATCGGGGTCATCCTCTTCTCCAGCGCCGTCTACTTCGCGGAGGCGGACGAACCGGAGTCTCACTTCAGCAGCATCCCGGACGCGTTCTGGTGGGCCGTGGTCACCATGACGACGGTGGGCTACGGGGACATGAGGCCGGTGACGGTCGGCGGGAAGATCGTGGGCTCGCTGTGCGCCATCGCCGGCGTGCTGACCATCGCGTTGCCGGTTCCGGTCATCGTGTCCAACTTCAACTACTTTTACCACCGAGAGACGGACCAGGACCAGTCCTCCCTGAAGGACGAGCCCAACAGCGGCAGAACCAGTCCCGAACTGAAGCGCAAAGGCAGCAAATCGTCCGCGAAGTCTCAGGACGCGGAGAACAACGAGGCGGGCGCAGCGGTGGAGAAGAACATGAAGGCGAACAGCAGCATGGACCTGAAGAGGTCTCTGTACGCCTTCTGCCTGGACACCCGGGAGACCGACCTGTAGAACCAGAACCACAGCGTCCCAGTCCCGTTAATGGGCTCCGGGTCTTTGCAGTGACAGTCGGAGGATCAACACCGTAATTCTGGAAAGTTTTAAGAGCGTCCAGGCTGATTTATAAAAAGCACATTTAATCCGCTGATCTGCGCTTCAGAACAAACATGATGTGATGCAACGAGCGGCCCTTTAATAAAGCAGAACACCTCCAGACTCGACGAATTAGTGCAAGTGGGACACGAAGGCTGCAGGAGTAATTAGTGAGAGGATTAGCGGACTCTGTACATAATGTAGGACCAGCCCATCATCAGTAGAACAACAGAGAGAAGCCAAACGTGACTTTCCTTCATGTGGTCTTTGTGTTTCAGCAGATGTACATATTTCCTGCTGCTGTTAGATTCAGGAGGAAAAAAAAGTCTATTTTTGACACCTGTTTCCTCCTCTCAGGTGTGAGCCGTAGTTTCTTCTCAGAGGACCTCAGCCTTGTTTCTGATCGTTTGAAACTAAAGAACTTTTTTTTTCTTTTTTTTCTTCTTCTTCTTCTTTTTTTTTTTTTTTTAAAAGGACATAGCATGGAAGTATGCAGAACCGAGCCAAGAGCCAAGAAAAGAGGACAGAACATCTGGAGAGACGAGCAACACCGAAACCAGGTGAGTGTTTCTTAGTTCAGCACCAAGTGGAACCAAAACCCAGATCTGGTTCATCTGATGAAGTGAAATGATGTTTTCCTCCAACTTTAGGTTTTCACATGTTCAGTGAACTGCTTCTATATAAATGTCTTATAAATGCTTTGGATTCATTTATTCAAATAAAATAGGACATTTTCACCATTAATCTGCTTTAAATTATGTTTTTAGACATTTTCCCAAATTTATATAAAAATACAAACAGAAATGTTTCATCTGCAGCTTCGACTCTCTTTAAATGATAAAAGTGTGAAAGCAGTGAAACCTGATGATGTGTGTTTTACAGGAAGGTTGTAGATTTGCACATTAAAAGACTGACTGGTGGTTTTGATTCAAGATTTAAAAGTCACTTTATGAAAGACTTGATGTGTTTATGTTCAAACTCAGTCTGTCAGTGTGACTTTACTCCTGGAGGTCAAAGCCTCTCGTCTGTCTGCTCAGGAAACACCAAGAAACTGTTTTGGTCTTGAAAAAAGATTTTGCACCTTTTTAGATTTTCTTGCCGCTCACAGTCGTAAACCAGTGATTGATTAGTTAAAGGTAATCAATAATGCTATTCTGTTGGGCTTCAGGGTAACAGCAGAACCAGATGTGTTGAGAAGTTTTCCTAAAAGTGACTTAATGGTGGAAAAAGCTGAAGTTTGACCTGGTTGCTGGATGACACGTTGGATTGTCTCCAAAGCAGATTATCACGAGCTTTTCTTCGTCTCGCTGTTTGTGTCTGAGCCGCACATAAACTCTGAAAACATCTTTTCATCAGCAGAGCAAAAACAAAACATAGAAAAATGGAATATGATCATTTGATTTAATGTATTTGCTGCAGTTTAGGATTTACAAAGTGGAGCTCCAACTGTCACAGACTTTTATTCTGAAGGAAACTAGAGACCTGCTGAAATCTGATTCATGAACATTTGTTTGGACGATACCAACATCCTCACAAGGTGTAAATCACCCTGAATAGAACGGGTTCATGTGTCTGAGTTCAGCTTTACTGAACTCACAGTGGGACAGGAAACCACGACTGTCCACCGTGGACCTGTTTCTGAACGGTTGGTTCTGCTGTGAAGTCTTCTTCACCGACTACCTGGTTTGTCTGTAAAATGAAACAAGACCATTTGAACTTCCAACACTCCAGCGTGACGCCCCATTTTTGTTTTTCACAAATATCACAAAATCCAAATAAATAAACGAAACGTCACCAAACGTGTTTTAGTTCAAAAATAACTAACACCTTATCACGACACCTTTATCGTGCCAAATGTTCCACTCTACCATGAAAACAACAACACCAACAACAACCATCACAGGCAGAAACCGGAGCAAACTTTCTTGGTTCTTTATTTCACTGAGTCTCATTGAAGTCAGTGTTTCTGTCTGAGGCTTAGAATGAACATTTTAAATAGACTTTACATAAAGTGCAGAGATGAAGAACTCAGCAGTCAGAGAAAGTTTGACTGTAAGAAACCACAGAATGTGTTTGGTTTAATTTGATGTAAATCCAGCTTTGGGCTCCTGCGTTCTGACTGGAGGACATGAACGCTATTTTTACAAAAGCTGGCGTTTCCACTCGACTTCTTGTAGAACATGAAGCATTGCAGAAAGAATGGAGTTCAGCACAGCAGTCGACAAGCGTTAAAAAACGAGTGCCAACAGGAAGCCTTCACCAGAGATGTGAACTTCATAGAACAGCTGAGGAAACGACTGAAGCCCAAGCCTAACCCA